CCAGCCAAACACACATGCCCCAAGAAGTCGAGGAGACATTCCTAATGGTTTGTATGATTTAACCAACACCTGGACACATGTATAGCTTTATCTGCAGGAGCTGGACTGGGGGCTTCATCTCTGCAAGAGGCCACAGTACGCAATACTGTGTCTGGATCCCTAAAAATTGCTAGGTAATTTCATGACCCCCTAACACTTGTAGATATGCAAGTTACGATCAATCTCAAGCTGCTACAGGTCACTTGATGTCCTGAAAGGATCAGGGCAGAACTCACACGCTGATGCCATTAGGGGGGTTTTCACCTCCTGCTGCTGCTGCTGCAGCGGGGCCTGGCTTGGATCAATGGTCTGACCCACTGTGACAAATCTAGTGGTCTTGGAAGGTCTGACTTCACTGTAAACACACGCTGCTGGTCGGAGCTGGGCCAGGATGAGACCTTGTCAGGATAGCCCATCACTAACCATGATTACAGCTAGCCAAGGTGTGGGAAGCAGTGGTTAATATTGGGGATTCCCAGCTTCTGGTGCATAAGGGTATGTCTACCCTGCAATCGGAGGTGCGACTGCAGCTACCACCAGTGACAATAGCAGTGAGGCGGTGGCAGCACATGCATCAGTGTGGGGTATCCAAGCCTTCCCGAGATCCTGGGTATGCACTCAAGGGCTAGCCTATGCTGCCAGGGCTTCACTGCTATTGTTATTCAGGCTAGCTAGATCAAAGCTAGCTCCGGGATGTCTACACACGCAGCAGTCAAGCTACAGATTGCAGCATTGGCGTCCCCAAAGAGTTAGAGGGGTGGAACCCTGGAGAAGTCTAGGCTCACTGCAGTGTGTACCCCAGTCACGTGAACCAGCACGCCGACTACTCAGAGCAAATCTCTCTGTTCCTTGGGAAAGAAGGGCGCGCTGGCAGCCTGGTAGTTGTTCCCCAGGGGAAGCTCCCTTACAGGAGGGGGAAGGAGCCTAGGTTGATGAACACCGTTTTTGTGTAACTAAACTAGACACACGTGTTTATTTCTCCAGTGGCAGGTGACAAACGTCACCTAGCAAGTGTGATTCTGTAACTGAGCTGAGTGTCGTTGGCACTTGGTAGCTGAACGCCCTCGGGCGGGGGAAGCTGCTTCCTTTAGATGGTAGCACGGTCCCGAGAGGAATGCTCATGTGGTGTTCAGTCGCTTCTGGTGGCCGTCCTAATGGGGTTACCCCGTCGTACCGGAAATGCCTGTGTTGGACTGCGCTGCCCAGCACCCTTAGGAGGAAGTTGGGCTTGACTCCATTTGGAGAGTGCTGATAAAGCATGCTGGGTGGATAGCCGCAAACCTTCTCCCCACAAATAAATAGCTCGCGTGTCCTGCATACCACACGTGCCATGGGCCATGGCTGGACAATCAGCTGGTTTAATAACCTGGCCTCTTTCAGATTAGCTTCGCTATTACTGTTAATTTATTAATATTGCAGTAGCATCTAGAGGCCCCAGTCTGGGATTAGGGTCCCACTGTGCTCGGCATTGTACGGACATAGAGGGGAAGATGGTCCATGCCCTAAAGAACATACAGCTGGCAACTGAACACAAGATGAGAGTGAGCCCGTTATGAGTAGTGCACTGAGCGGCAGTCACCCCCCACCAGATGCCAAGCCATTGTCCAAATCAAATTCAATCTCAGGGGCAATGGCTGCCCTTGGTTGGGTTTCTACCCAAGCCAAATGCAAGGGCCACCTGTCCCCTCTTGGGGGTGTTCCCTTTTCCTTGGGACATTTACTTCGGTGGAAAGGGCCTATGTGCCACTCAAGTCCCATTTAAAACCTATTTGGAGGGGTTACGTGATGCACAGGCCTTGCATTCTTCCCTCGGCTTGGGACAATTTCACCCTTTGTGCATTTATATCACCCACTGATAACAGATGTTATTGTGAAGAGGAGGGACATTTCCTGTTAAAGTCCCACTTAATAGCCCTGGGGCAGATTCTGTTTCCATGGACATCAGTGGCAAAAATCTGATTGACTTGAGTGAAAGCAAAATCAAGCTCCTGTAATGTGTGGGAGTTTTAGCAGATGCTCTGGTGTTTTCTTACTGCCGTGTTAAGGCTTTCCCTTTTCCTTTCTCCTTCCGGGGCTGTGCAGCCTGTCTCTCTCTCTCTCTCTCTCTTATCCCTTTTATTCTTTCCTTGGCAGGGTTTCCCTGAGGTTCCCCACAAAATGGAGAGTACAGAGCAGAAATGGTGTTACTGGAGGCCCCATCCCTTTAAAGCGCTCTGAGCTGCAGCTTTCATCTGAAGATGATGCTGTTAATTCTCCTCCGGCCAGCAATGTGCTGCCAATGACTTGACTTTAAGAAGATAGCACAAACATTTTCTCCCGTAATCTGCAGTAAACACCGTATCCCAGGGAGGCTAGAGAGACCAAGGAACGTAACCCCTAGTTTTGCCTGTCCTCAAGAATGCTCCCTCTTAACCCTGACCAAGGAGAGAGGCAGTAAACACGCCATCCGAGCTCTGTTCCTGCACAGTGTCTTGAATACACTGAGAAGTCTGGCACAATGTTCAGTTTGTGTCACGTGATGGGGAGGGGAGGACCCGTGGAGCTGCCTAAGGGTGGCCTCTCCCCCAGGAATGGATGGAATCTGGTACGATCCTAAGGCAAAGTCTTCTACAGCCGTGTTCTTATGAACCCCAAAGATAAGTCATCTCTGGGCAGGATGGTGTAGCAGCATCCATGGGCAATGGGGCTGGGGAGAGCACGACTTCGTTATATGCAGGGAAGCCATCCCAACCGTCCCCCTTCAATTTAGTCACAAAGTTTTAACAAGGGGCACCAGAGAAGCCCATCCAATATAATCTCAGCTTCTGGCCCAAGGTGGTGTTCAGGCAACTGAGTGCTAAATGGGGTTGTCCTTTTATAGGGGCTTGAGAGCAAGGAGGTATGGTATGAGTAGTTGTATCTCTAATGTATTTTAGCAATCAGGGTGTGCACTGATGATGATTAGGAGGTTGCTTGGAAATACTAACCACAGTTAGTACTGTCTCTATGGGATAAATGGTTGAGCCCATAGTAGGTTATTGCACAGAATGGTTTGGCCTGTGCAAGGTGGTTTCATAGACTCATAGATGATAAAGGCAGAAAGGACCCCTGTGATCATGTAGTTGACCTCCTTTTGCATAGAACTTCCCTGTATTATCGTCTGTTTGACCTAGAGCCGGTCTGTTAGAAAAACATCCTATCTTGATTTTAAAACTGCCAGTGATGGAGAATCCACCATGACTCTTGGTAAGTTGTTCTAGGGGTTAATTTGCAGCAGCCTGATGGTATAACCAGCCTAGACAGGATGGGATCTCCTTGGTTACCACTGAATCCAAGTTAACCGCTGCCATTCCTGGCTGTTTGCTGAGTATTTGATATACAGTGCATTGAATTCAAAGTGTCTTTTCTATGCTGCACCATGGTACCACAAGCATCTCCTGTCTTCAGCAGTTCAGATAATGCAATAACCACCTCAAGTGCTTCCCAGCTGTTAACATGCCATGAAAAATAAAGGAAGCTCTTACCAGACAGGAGATGAGTTGGATATGAAAATAGCCCCTTTTCCTAGGCAAGATTATTGCACTGAGGAAATGGAAAAGACTCATTTTCTTTTGCAAGGCAACTGGTATTTAGCTTTAGAAATGTACGTTGCTGTTCCTTGAACTGTTTGTTAGATTTTCTCACTGGAGTTACTTCAAACTCGGTCCCTTCTTTCTCATTAGGTTTGGTGAGAGAGGAACTTGTAAAGGTTTCACACGAAAGGCTGTAACTTGGAGCGCGTGTTGGTTTATTTGGGAAGGTCAATTTTCTATGTCATGGATCTGAGTTCACGCACAAGGTCTGCTCCAACTCCAGTTGGAGCGAATGGAGATCTTGCCATCAGCTTTAAGGGCCATAGTTAGGACAGCCTAGAAAGATCCCCTCCAGGTTTCTGACCAGAACTTTGGATCAACCAAAACAGAGACAATCCACAAAGAAACCTTCCTCGATTTTTAGTGTGGCATTTTCAAAGGCAGCTAAGAACGCAAATCCCATTGACTTTCAGTGGCACTTGTACTTGTTAACTCTCTTGGGTGTTTTTGAAAAGCCCACCTTACACTCAGAGCATTTAGTCTGCTACAGATAGACCTCTAGCCTGGCTAGGCACATCCTACAAAGCTGCTGACTTTTGCCTTAATGCTTCATTTTAGTGCATTGCTTAAAGATCTTGTTATGCTGGGACACAACATGAGTGTCATTATGGTGTGTGCTACAGAAATGGGCATTTGCTGTATTACAAGACCTGATAGAATGTCCTTCCTATGCACTGCCTCTCTCTTCTGTCCCCTCTCCAGTTTTTTAACGTACTTTTTGAAACGTGGACACCAGAATTCCAGGATTAGTCATAGAATATCAGGGTTGGAAGGGACCTCAGAGGGTCATCTACTCCAACCCCCTGCTTAAAGCAGGACCAATCCCCAGACAGATTTTTGCCCCAGATCCCTAAATGGCCCCCTCAAGGATTGAACTCACAACCCTGAGTTTAGCAGGCCAATGTTCAAACCACTGAGCTATTCCTCCCCCCCAGAAGTGTTTAACCACAGAAACATGTAACTGCCTACATCCTAAGTTTGTCTATGAAGTCTCACCACCGCTGAATCACCTCCCTTTCCTCACTTCTCCATTTATCTATCCATGGATGGCGTTAGCCCTTTTTACCACAGCTTCATATTGAGAGCTCATGTTGTGTGGTTTGTCCACCAGGGCCCCGAAATCCTTTTCCGAGTCGCTGCTTTCCTGGGGACAGTCCCCCATTCTGTAGGTGCTGCCTGCCTCCTTTGTTCCCAGATGTACGGATTTGCATAGGGTTTTATTATGTGCAAAGTGAAACAGTGCAATAAATCCCTTGAGGAAATGAGTGTGTTTACCATGCGGAATAATAAAAAAAAATTCCATGTTTCTCCTTATGTATCAGCTTGATTATGTGTCTTTCTGTCTCGTAGCCGGACGAACTGACCAACGCTTTGGAGATCAGTAACATTGTCTTCACCAGCATGTTTGCCCTGGAGATGGTCCTTAAGCTCCTTGCCTTTGGTATCTTCGGTTACATCAAGAACCCATACAACATCTTCGACGGGATCATAGTCATCATCAGGTCACTGCACGCTGCATGATACTTTCCACCATTCGCCTCCAAGTAGCTCCAGGAAACTTTAGACAAGTCATGTCATGCAGGGGGTAGGAGTGATGTGGCTTAGTCTGAATTTAGAGCTCAGGGAGATTAAGAGCATATTGGCCTTTTAGGGTTGTATCTTTAGAAGTGCTGTCCAAACGAAATGGACGTGACAGACGAGGAGTTCTATTTCTGCCACACATCTGGCGGCGTGGTGAATTTTCCACTGAAACCCAGCAGAACTAGTTCTGGGGAAAGAAGTGTAATGACCCCAAGTTGCAGCAGTACAGTGTTTTCCCAGAACAAATACATGAATACATGACCCGGAAAGGCAGGAACAGGGCAACGCTGTGAGAAGGTAGGATACAATAGGTAATGGGTGTGGTGCCCACTACAGAGGGCTCCCAACAAGTGGTAGGCATGCTGCAGATCTGGGGTGGGTTGTGCTGGCCCATGTGCGTAGGAAAGGCTTCTTCTGCATCTGTCCATGCTGTAACTGGCTTGGCCCACACCAGTCATCCCCCGAGCTTCGTGGCTGCTAAATTCACTCTAATTTTGAGAAAGAAAAATCTCAGGCCAGATCCTCAGTCGGTGTAAATCAGCATAGGGTCGTTGACGTCCATGGTGGGATGCCGTTTTATACCAGCTGATGGCTGGGCCCCTGGCGTTGAAATACGTCATGACAATTAGAGAGGGATCCAGACCAAAGTCCCAGATCCAAACAACTCCAAACTCAGATTGTTCAAACTCCAAACCCAATTTTACACCTGGCTCCATCTCTTTATAATAATAATCTGAACTAAAACCCCCATGTTTGAACCCTCTGGAATTTCAGGGCCTTCCAAAATCCTGATCTAAATTTTGTGGCTGGAGCCCAGCTCTGATTTGCAATGGTCCAGACCAACAGTGCATATAGAAGACCATTAAGTCATTTACTTTATCGCTAGATGCCGTAGAAAACAAGCAGGTTAAACAACACTAAACTGGCTATAGAGGAAATAGATTAAGCATATATATTGAAGGGGGCTAATTCTGAGATCTTTCCAAAGTCAAGAAGGAGGCAGAGCAGCAGAGGCAAATATACAAGTTGACCTCCCCCCACCCACACTACCTTTGTAAGTCCCATCTGTTCCTACAGCGCTCTCTGATCCCAGGTCACAGGCTGGGCCAGACACCCTGTGAGCTACCCACAATCCAGTTAGCTACGGGTTTTGTTGTACTGTACACCAAACTGCTACGAGTCAGACAAGGACAGTGAGTTTGTTGTTTTCCCTCTTGTGCTCCCGTAGTGTCTGGGAGATCATTGGCCAATCCGATGGAGGCCTTTCTGTGCTGAGAACTTTTCGGCTGCTCAGGGTCCTCAAGCTGGTACGCTTCATGCCCGCCCTTCGCCGCCAGCTGGTGGTCCTGATGAAGACGATGGATAACGTGGCCACCTTCTGCATGCTGCTCATGCTCTTCATCTTTATTTTCAGGTACCAGCAGCGGCTGCTTTTCTTCTTGGATTAATTGTTTGGCTTGCTTAAATAATATGTAAATTAGAATGACAATAGAGCATGTTTGCCATGCAGCCTAGATGACAGAAGTGCTCACAATAGACTGACAGGCAGATATTCAACAGATGATTTACCTCTTTGAGGTCTCCGTGTTTCATGCAATCCTTGTCATTGTGTAGACACATGAAGAACACAAACTGACAACAACAGAAAAACAATCACGCCAGAGTTCCTGAGAGGCACAGGACAGGAGCGGCAGAAGCTTCCTAAAACTGGGGGGGGGACGCACCGGCACCTGCCCCCTCTGTGCCACCCCTCTCTCCTGACGCCCTGCCCCCGCACCGCCTCTTCCCCTGAGGCCCCGCCCCTGCACCGCCTCTCCCTTCCCCCTCTGTTCCAGGATTCCTGACCCAGGAAGTTGTCCACAAATGGAACTTGATGGCTTCCTGTTTTAGAGGGAGGAAGTATGGGGTCCAGGAATTACTTTTTTAACACTAGTCTGCAGCTGAATGGCTCAGGGGGTTGATAAGAGGGCATGCAGCCGGTCACCAGCTCCGCCCCCCTGAGTTCTGGGTTTGACTCTGACCGAGGTCAATAGTGAGGATACGTGATCCAGAGAAGTAAGAAGAACTATGGAGGGGGAGTGGGGACAAAGCGGGCAGTTGACCTGATGTTCTTTCGGGGGGCTATGTACCCCACCTTGTAGAGAATAGCAGGGGTCATTTCCAGTGCCTGTTTAGTAGCCAAAACGAAATGGATTGTTGGTGTTAGTTAATTTGGTAGTGGACAACTATCTGTAGCACCAGCAGTCACTTCCCAGCAACTCCATGGGATCATCTGTCCATGTCAAATAGAAGACTTTCAAAATAATAGTCCAGATTCTCAGATGGTTCAAATTCGCTTATTTCCATGGATGTGGGCCCACTGGCTTCAGTGTAGATTAGCTGAGAATTTGCCCCAATACCTATGGCAAACATCTTGGAAGATGGTATTTTTTATTAAATACTCAGAAAGCGCAAGCAATTTATGTCAACTGTTAAATCTTCTGAATGTTTCTCCTGGTTTGTGTAATTCCAAGCTGTTTTCTCTATTCTTTCTCTGTTTGATGTCATTCATACTTGTATATTCGTCATGCATATTGTATATTTGTCATGCTTACGTCATACGGAATAGTTCCTGACCACATATCCATTACGCTGTTTGATAGAAGGAACTCAAAAGTGGGGGAACAGCTACCATTGCAGCTGCCACTAATTGGCCGCTTTGTTGGCATTATCAGCAAAGAGTATGAGGACTGAATGGTTAATGAAGATTGAGTGACCCTCTCAAGATCCTGGAAGTGGTCAAATCAGCTGTAAGGTCCATTTCTCATAGAAGATCCCTTTCTGGGAAAATTTCTGGGACCTGGTTGGCCTGAGCCGTGACAGGTCAAATGTGCTTTGTTACACTCACATTTAGCGAAGGTATCCGCTTTTTGCCTGAGTCCTATATAATGAACGGAAAGTAGCCCCTCCAGCACCCACAGCCCTCTCCAGAAATTCCTCAGAGAGGATACTGGAGATGGAGATGGATTGTTTGAAGAGTCTTCAGCCATGTCACCCATAATTCCTTGGACCAGTAACATCCATTCCCAGTCAAAGGCTGCATAAGGTATAGAAAGCTCACTGACTAGTATTACAGCTGGGTCAATGGAACCCAGAGGCCATCAGGCTCTGAAATGGTGGGTCATCTGTAGGCATCTGGACTGAAATGGCAAGTAGAGGCTGGGGGCCTCAAGAACCAGTACATTTGGTGATGGTTCACCAGGGAGTTAGTGCAGGAACATAAGGAAAAAGGTTATATCTAAGTCATGCTATTCTGCTTTCACCTTCTGGAAAGGCTCTTTTGTTGCATATAGCAAACCCGTGCTCTGATTCACCTTGTAGTTGGTGTCCTCCTCTAAGGAGGTCTCATTTCCTGCCTGCAGGAGCACAGATAGCACTCTCAATAGACCCATAATGTGCAGCTGTGCAAAGAAAGTGACCCCCAAAGCCCTAGGTTGCTCCCTAAAACCATGTGTCTCATGCAGTGATGTCTTCTATGTCGCTTCCTTTCCCTCTCCAGCATTCTCGGCATGCATCTTTTTGGATGCAAGTTTAGCTTGAAAACTGATACGGGGGACACAGTTCCAGACAGAAAGAATTTTGATTCCTTGCTCTGGGCCATTGTGACCGTGTTTCAGGTAAGATCTGGGACCGCTGATGAGTTTTATTCTCTACCAAGCAGACAAATGTTGTTGCCTTTCAAAAAACTTCATTAACAGCATCACAGAGTTAATTGGACAAACTTACCATGAAAGAGGTTTGTTTCAGTTCTTCCCAATGAATCGAGTGGTCTCAGGCTAGCTCTGAGTGGGCAGATGCCCTTGTCACAAACCCCACCACTATAATGATCTCGCTTCTTAGCAAAGGCCAAAGCCTGAGAAGGAATAGAGATTGAGCAGCACTTTCATATCATTACACTTGTGCAAATAATAGCAGATTTTCTCAGTTCAGTTTTGATTAAACTAAAAAGTAGGAAAAAAATTCTGGTCGCTCAAAACACTTTGACTCCCCAAAAACATTTTGTTATATTCAGGGTTTTTTTTTTTAACTTTGTCTCAGATTTTATCTTGATTTTTTTAGGTATAAGGAAAAAGCAAACAGAATATTTTGACTTTGAGGGAATTTTTTTTTCCCAGACAGAAACATTTCAGCAGATTCAACATGAATGCATTAAATGTTTCAGTTGACCCAAATCTGCATTTTTTTGCCCAAAATTCAAGAAATTTTGCCCAGCTGCAATCATTATACAAGTCAGGTTGACACATATCGGTCATTGTGAAGGAGGCTTCTAAAACCATTCAGTGCTGTACCTGTTCCATGAATAAACAGAAGACTTCTGTCTCCAAGGATACCAATCCAACACCTTCCTCCAGCACTGAAATTCACTTTTTTAAAATACTGTGTTTTAGAATTGGGGGAAGAACAGACTGTCTCAGGTCAATCTAGCTCAGCAAATTTTGTAGGTGCTGGCTACACAAACAGTGGATTTGGGATGAGGATTGCTGGACTGGTAAAGACTGTGACACAAAAGAAAAGCAAGGCAGAGGACTGGAAAATCTCTATGTAAACTAGCCGACTTTCCTGTGTAGACAAGATCTAAGGTATCATTGGAATGACTCATATATTTCATAACAGAGCAATAAAGCAGCAATTTCCAGGAAGGTATCTCTCCGTAACATTAGCTGTCTTTCTGCTTAAGAAATCAGCCCTTGTAATGGGAAGCAGAGTGAGTATATTAATGGCCCCCTTACAACCACCAACAGACGTACATTGCATATAGTGGAGGAGAGCTTGGGAATGTTAAGCAGGATTCCTCGGTACAGGACAGATGCACCTCAATAAATGAGTTGCAGTTAGGGTGACCAGATGTCCCGATTTTATAGGGACAGTCCTGGTTTTTGGGTCTTTTTCTTATATAGGCTCCTATTACCCCCCATCTCCGTCCTGATTTTTCACATTTGCTGTCTGGTCACCCTAGTTGCAGTCCATGTGCAAACTGATCCAAACTCTCCATAATGCAGAATGTTAGCTCGCCTCTATATAAACAAAGACGGATTTTAGTTCATTGCGAGGGGAAACTGACATCACTTCCATGAGGCTCATACTGTTTTAATAGCGGCTCATGTATTTATTTTTAACCTTCGAAGTCGTGTGTGTAACTAGATTCAGCGTGATGCACAAGGACATAACCTTAAGGGGAGGCACAGAACTAATGGGAGGCACAGGACTAAATGCAGCCGAATATGCTTTCCCACCCCCAGATGCCGCCAACTCGTTGTTCCTGTTTTACAGCAGTGCTAGAGGACATCTTCATTGTAGAGTCTGGATTAAAGAAGGGCAAGAAACCATCGTCTTATTTTTTTTTTTAATCCCTGGGTTTTTCAGCTATGGAAAAATTGGTAGGCTAGGAATATCTTGAGTGACTCTTATGAAGGCTCCTTATAGTCAGACTAGTCTTTTCAAAGAAAATATGTTTTCCTGCCAGTTTATCATCTTTTTTCCACCCAACAAGCAGTTGTTTCCTTTCCTGAGTTGCTGGAGATCCCTCGTGTCAATGACTGTGAGGAAAACCTGGGTTGTTTTTCCCCAACTCCAGTTAACTCATAATGAGAAAAAATATTCTGATGAAAGGAAAACGTGGCCCTGAAAAAGGGTGACTATCTCTTAGCACAAAACTGATGGTGCCATGGCAGGCCTATCAACTGGTAGCCGATCACCAGAGTACACATAATCATTTGGGAACTTCCCCACCACTTAGTAGAACTCGCTGCTTGTGCACCCAATACATTACCAGAGTGGAGATTTGAACTAGCAACCTTTGTGGGTCATAATGCTACTAGGTGAGCTGACAGGGGACCTAGTGCAGAAGAGTATCTCAGGGGGAAGCCGCAGCTTGCAGATCTATCTCATGTGCTGAGATCTAAATAAAGAGATCCTTTGCGGTCTCATCTGGTTAGATCTCTAGGAGGTCAGAAAGGAGAGCGGGTGCTGCTTCTGTAAAGGAGAAAGGGATAAATCAGTGATTCAATGTGCATTTTAAACCAGCTGCTCCCGGCGAGCAGAGAGGAGTAATCGGAAAGCGTTTCCTCCCCATTCCACGCAGATCCTCACCCAGGAAGACTGGAACGTGGTGCTCTACAATGGCATGGCATCCACCTCCTCGTGGGCGGCACTCTACTTCGTGGCCCTGATGACCTTTGGCAACTACGTGCTCTTCAACCTCCTAGTTGCCATCCTGGTAGAAGGCTTCCAAGCAGAGGTAAGGGGGCTTAGCAAAGTGCTGGGGCAGGGAACTGGCAGCTGCACGTAGGGAATGGGTGAGGGGTTCAGTCTCATGAGCTCTTCATCAGTAGGGAAATAGCAGCTTATCTCTAAATGATCCTCCAAGGACCACAACAGTACCTGGCCCCCCAGACCCTCCAGTAAATCCCACCTGGTACAAGACAGGACGTTGATAATCCAGTGCTCATGGGGGAAAGGGCCAAACTGAATTAAGCCTGGTCTACACTTCAAAGTTGGTGTCGCTGTGATGGCTAGTTGGGGGTGGGGGCAGTTACTGACATAGCTATGTTGGCATAAGTCCTAGGGTGGATGCAGTTATACCGGTATAAGCAGAGTAGGAGTGATAAAGCTTGTGATGAGGTGCCCTTGTGATGCCTGGCTAGCTCTGCTGGGTCCATCCTTGAGAGGATGATCCAGTGGTTAGAGCACTTGCGTGGCATTCACAAGAGCATGCTCCACCCGGTTTCCAGTGTGACCCTGGGCAAGTCGCTAAGGGGACGTCTACCGTTTGTGCTGGAGATGTAAACTGAATCATCCAGAGCATGGTCCTAGCCGAGACGTGAGGCACGGACTTGGGCGACTGGCTGCTTGCACCACTGTGACTATTCTTCTGGTTTTAGCGTGCTAGTGTGGGTGTGTCCTCTCGCTGGAATTTACACCTGCCGCACCTGCACAGACGTGTCTACCCTGGGAGTTGGGGATGTAGATTCCCAGCTCGAGGAGACATTTTCGTGCTAGCTCTCATGGAGCTAGCATGCTAAAAATAGGATGTGCCTGGTGGGACGGGCTCGCCACTCTGAGTACGAACCTATGGTCTCTGGTGGCAAGTACTGGGGACAGGACCACTAGTCTGACCCAGTAGGGCTGTTCTTATGTACCCCTACCTGAAAATGAGTGCTATAACCGTATATGTGGCCAGGGGACTGGATAATGTCCAGTCACCTTATCTTGGGTAAGGAAGTTTAAAGAAATGACTATTTCTCAGTCTGCTTTGAGAAGTTTCCAAGTGTCAATCCTGGAACCCGCTGACCTAGTCTGCTCTTCTCCGTTTTTTCCTTCGGAGCAGGACAGATCCATATGGAGCATGGAGTTTTAAATGAGAATTATGATCCCATTTCTGGTTTAATATATTCTCAAGAAGCTTTTGTGAAGTCGGTAGGGCACGGACATGATTTTGAGACTCACCTAAAATCATCCAGCCTCCGTTCAAGTTGAAAATAATGATCCAAAAGGCTTGAATCACATTTTTGGATTTTTTTTTGGTATCCCAAGACATGCAAGAACAGAGAGGCTGCTTGGCGCTTTGGAATATTGAACCAGCGCTACGCACATGGGAACTCAGAAACAAAATGAGGAATGGTTTTCAATGTTCATTCTCTAAATTCCCAGGGTGTGGAGAGGGAAAGAAAATCTTTGATTTATTCCTTATTTTTGATAACTTTTCATCTTGTCCCCAGAAATCTCATCATTTTCATTTTTATTCTGCTTACATTACACTGAGGCAACGCTGCGGTTCGCTGTGAAGTACCATTGAAATATGCATGCGCCAGAAACACCCTTCTCCTAAACTGTCACAACTACATTTTCCCCCTTTAAGGTGATCTGTATGGTTTCCATTATTAAAATGTCCCTTCCCAGCTTCCTGATAAGTACCAGGACAGGCAAATGAATAGAAACAGCTGGAACAGAGCCCTAGTTTGAAAATGATTTTATCTTCATTGTTTATTCCCAGACTCACAAAGCAGCTTTCTCGGGATCACGGATCTGTGTGATACGTGCACGTTGCTGGGGATGCTACAACTCTTCGCATCCTTGCCTCTTAGGGCTGGTCTACACTGGGGGAGGGGGGGATCGATCCAAGATACACAACTTCAGCTACGCGAATAGCGTAGCTGAAGTCGAAGTATCTTGGATCGAATTACCTGGGGTCCAGACGGCGCGGGATCGACGGCCGCGGCTCCCCCGTCGACTGCGCTACCGCCGCTCGCTCTGGTGGAGTTCCGGAGTCAACGGTGAGCGCGTTCAGGGATCGATATATCGCGTCTTAACGAGACGCGATATATCGATCCCGGATAAATCGATTGCTACCCGCCGATACGGCGGGTAGTGAAGACGTACCCTTGGTACAACTGGCACGACCCTGCTTCTATTGAAGTCTGTGGAAATTTTGCCACAGACTTTAGTAGAAGCAAGATCAGCCCAAAAAGAAGGAATTACCAGTGTTCATGGAGAATCTGGCTGCTGTGTCCCAGCAGGTTGGCGTTTTGCTCTGCGGTGTTAGTTGTCTTCAAAGTCACACGTGCCGTGCCGTAAGCTGGACCCAAAGCCTGTTGCAAAGTGCCTGGACTCTGATGCAGCCGGCTGACAAGTCTGAGGCCGATTCATTTACATTTTAAAATGGTAGCTTTTCATGGATTAAACATAAAACTGAATAACCCAATAGGTGCAGTAACCCTGGTGGTGGTGATTTTTATATTGAACTCCATTCATTTGAAGCTGTTGCCCATGTTATCCGTTTTCAGTGTGCTACAGATTTTTTGCACAGATGGCTACAGCATAGAAGTAGCCAGTTGAAGAGGGTTTGAAAACTGGCAGCTGATCGGGGACAGTTTGAGTGCTAGGCACCTAAGAAGGTGGGGGAGGCAGTCTGAGATAATTGGCTGAACACATTAGCTGTAAGAACAAATTCAAAAATTTTATTAAGATGATGTTAAAAAAAAAGTGAACAGAGTTTGAGCATAGAAGTTTCTGGTTATCAGGGAATAACGTACAGATTATCGAGGGTGCAAAGTTTGGTTTAAGATCAGGTAGCATGAGGAATACATAATCTGCAATATCCCCGATTGGGGGTAAAAGGTTTACTACTGCTAAAATGATCCACGGTGACATAGTTAACAACACTGGACCCAGAACATTCATTAGGAAGTTTCAGAGATACCAGCCAAATAGAAATGAATGAAAGTTTCAATCTAGACTTTCCCATAGCTTGGATGTGTTTTGAGGCGGGAGTGTAATATATGAAAAGGAACTGAGTACCTAGACTGTAAATTCTTTGGGGCAGAGATTGTCTTTTTGTTCTGTTCATACAGGACCTAGCACAGTGGAGTCCAGGGGCCCCTAGATGCTGTGGGAATACAAATAATAATACTGTTATGTGTATGTATCACTGCCCACTGTTAGATGGAATCAGAATAGCTCAAATGTGTTTCATAGGCCCTGTATTGCTAATGAGGCTCTCCTTGAACTCAAGAGGCAAGGACTATTCTTTTTTGGAGCTGAAGGATCTAAGTTTTATCTTTTGCGTCTACCACCAAGACCTAAGCCGCTATAAATTTGTTACAATAGGTAGAATTTGAGTGATATGTGTTTGTGTTTGCCTTTGCCTAAATCATTCTTCACCTTGGTTCGTTCCTGCGATGTTGCCCATATTTCATGACTCGTGCTGCTTTTGAAGCTCCTGTCTCTCAGGGTCCATTAGCGTGTCTCAGCCCCACATCTCCCGGCCCTCGGAGAAGACGCTTGAGGATATTATAAGAATGCTGAATGTGTGTGCCAGCCGTCTATGCTGGGGAAGGGCCACCGGTATCAGCCTTTTGATCTTCAGCAGGTTCCAGAGACAGGAGGTCATACACATTCCAGATGAAGCGCACAGGCTGTGCCAAAAATTGTAACAGCTAATTGAAATCCAGGAATCTCCTTTGTGTTCTGCTTGGGGTGTAGAGTAGATGCAGCTGTTTGATGTTGCCAGGCAGACCCAGCCAGTCATACTTTGCACTTTTCACCTGTTTTTTTCTAAGTGCAAGTCCACATTCATGCTCCGTACCCAGGCAGGCAGGAGAGAGGCCTTCCTTGCCCATTCAACTTTATCAGCTACACTATTGCTGTTTCATTTACACCCTTTAATCCCTGTGTGCTGGGCCCCAGCTCCCCGTCTTTGATAAGACACTTGTCTTTAAATTTGTTGTCATTGACGAAAACAAACAATGGAAGAGGACCTGGGGAATGGGCCCTGAATTATTCACGAGCTAGTCTTGGTGTGTGTGGGGGGGGAATCGGTGCTTTCGTTATCCACTCTGCCTGGGAACGTTTTTAACTGTCTTGGGGATTTATAATACTTCTGCTTATTCCAAGCTGTTTCATTCAATACGAGAGAGCAAGCAGAGAAAAATCATATTTGCCCCATATATTTTTCTGTGATGACTTCAGTGAACAAATAATGATGCATTAAGCGAGTCTGGTAAGGGTCCCAGCCAAATGCCTGGCCGTAGACAGAGAGTTCTAGTTGGTAACTTAGAGTTAAGCTAAAGGATAGTCCTCTTCTCCCTTGGATTATACTAGGTCAGCTCACTAAAGCTCCCTTCACATGCCCATGGCTCCAGCTCCACTTCAAATATCTTTTCTGGTTTCCCCTTTCCTCCTGAAGCAAATGTAACCACCTTCCCCTTTTCTCCAAAGCCCTACACAATCAATCTCCTATGTAGAATCATAGAAGTGTAGGACTGGAAGGGACCTCAGTAGGTCATCTAGTCCAGTCCCCTGCACTCAAGGCAGGACTAAGTAATATATAATACTGTACATATAATGCTCTGGCTCTCGCCTCTATTCATTTGTCCTCTCAGCATGACCGACAACCCCCTTGGTTTACCATCTTGTGTTCTTACTTCCAAATATAACACTCATTTACACACCGGCTCTCTGTCCCACTCTAGTAGCTGAAATACTCTGAGTCCACTGCAGCCTGGGCTAACAGCTAACAGCTACTGTGTCTTCTAGCTCAGGTCGTCAAAACTCATGTTTTTTATCTCCAGAGGTCACGGGTTGAATCCTTGCTGTGGAAATAATGTGGGGTTTGCGTTGGAAAAAAGAAAATTCTCTCCATTCAGCAAACCTGTTTGTTGCAAAAGCCACCCTGACCTTTCCACAATGTTCTGTCTCCTGCCTGTTCTCTAAACGGCTGAATCGTGCTAATATGAAGACAGAAATTGGTAGCCTTGTGCAATATTCTCTATAAATATGTAATTACAGTCTTAGCAAAATGGACCCTGTTTTCTTGCTAGTGTTTAATAGCTCCTTTTGGAGCTGTTACAGCCTGTGATTTAAATGTGTAAGAGACAGTCTTTAAAGCCAGCATCAGAACAGCCCAACCACCCCAGGGATTAAATTTGTAGCGTGCATTTTTCTTTCTGGTTTCCTTCATTGGGGGCTTGGCAAAGCTTATGGCTATAGGCTTGTCAATTGTCTCTTAGCTAGGTACAGTATGCACTAGAGAAATCCCACCAGAGCCATATTTCAGCCACGAGGCCTTGTATCAAACTGCGTGCTTATAAATGAATAACTTAGCTCTAGTTTTTATACAGCAAAGACTGGCAAATCTTCCTTGGCTGCAACTCGCAGGGAGAAGCATTCAGCAGAGCTGAGGATTTTTTATTTTCCTGCGGCTTTATTCTTTGATTCGTTGACTAGCTGTTGATGCCAAAATATGAAAAGTCATTTAAACAGGAATCCACATAAAGTCACATACTGCAGAGGAACTTGTCTGAGAACTTTTGCCTTGCTCTTCTTCTTTGACACTGCTTGTGAGTACGGTCAGAAAGGTGGTTATGTACAAATGGACCCTTCTTAGTCATCCGATCACTCCAAGCAGGGCCGGCTCCAGGCACCAGCTTACCAAGCAGGTGCTTGGGGCGGCCACTTTGGAGAGGGGCGGCACGTCCAGCTGTTCGGCAGCAATTCGGCGGACGGTCCCTCACTCCCGCTCGGAGCGAAGGACCTCCTGCCGAATTGCCACTGCAGATCGCGATCACAGCTTTTTTTATTTATTTATTTTGTTTGTTTGGCTGCTTGGGGCAGCCAAAACCCTGGAGCCGGCCCTGACTCCAAGTCACGAGGGCTGACTTTACTGATAGAATTGTGGGGGGGTTGCTATTGTTGGCCCTCCCCTACAGCTAAGGAAACAAGCTGAGTTCTGTTCTATCCTATGTATCATTGACAAAATTGCCAACTGAATTTGATTGAGGGATTCCTTTATTGATGATGCTGTCAGAGGCAGAAAAAACCCAGCTTGATCTTCAGATCTTGACTTACGAATGGTGCAAATTTGATAGGGACATCAAAGAAAGAGAATAGAAACGGAAATCCACAAGGTCATGCTTCGTGTAGAGCATTCCTGACTTGCATGTATGACTGCAGAACTACGAGCAAAAGGGCAAAACTTATGCTTGTGTAGCTGAGTCACGCAGAGGTTCCAGATTGACTGACTGGAAAACGATCTCAAATCTGCTGTACAACGCCACCCAGAGCTTCCAAAATTATGCAGATCTAACAGCTATTGTATGTTAATTCTTCATCCATGAAACAAAAAAGATGAACAAAGGAACTCAATCCCCTCTCTTAACCTGTTGCTTTGGCTGCACCACTTAGCAACACACTGCCAAAGAAATCAAGTTCATCACCACCTTGGGGAGAGCCGTGTGTGTCTGCTGAGACCGTGGTGGATTTGTACAGGCACCAGTTAAGAAACTGTGCTCCTTACAGAGACCAATTTGCACAACTTCTCTGTAGCCTCGATGGGTCAGTTGGACAGCCTGCCAGAGCAATTCTGTCCTGCTGACCACACACAGGATGAAATTGTTTAGGAGAACTTTACAAGACAAGCATTTTTACTCCAGCCTTTTAAATGAATTTAGGTTAGTCTCTTTGGTAGCATACCTGGATATAAGAAAGCAAAGAACCCGTGTTCAAATCTGGTAAAGACATTTCAAAAAGGATTGTGTGGCTGAGGGCTCGGCTTTGGCATGCCAAACCTCTCAACAACATAATCTTCCGGTTGCTGGTCAGGCCCCTGTGTGTAAAAGGAATCAAGGGTCTTCTCCCAAATCCCAAACTCACTGTCACCATTGGCCCTCCTGCTGGCGGTCTAGAAGGAGACGCTAGAGACTGAATCAGCTGTGAAGACTGAATTATTCTTCCACGCTAGAGGTGGTCCATGATGGGGTAGCGTGTGCGTGCGTGTCCATTCACCACTTGTGCTGTAGCACTTCTGTGGATACCGAAGTGTCTAATCTGGGGTCTGTTCATGACTATATTGGGGAGGATGTACAAAAGCACTCAGTACTGGCCTAACTGCTCCCACTGAACTCAATGGTGAAACTTCCATCCACTTCAATAGGCACAGAGCTGGGCCAGTGCTGAGGTACAGATCACCAGCACAGTTCCCAGGAGTCCTCTTGGGTTAGGGTGACCAGATGTCCCAATTTCATAGGGACAGTCACGATATTTGGGGCTTTGTCTTATATAGGTGCCTATTACCCTCTCCCACCCCCGTCCCAATTTTTCACACTTGCTGTCTGGTCACCCTATCTGGGGTAGTGCTCTGTGGAGCTACGACCTTCTACCAGCTGAGTTTCAGCCCTGAGTGCGTCTGAAAATCCCACCCTACCTGTTATGGTAATAAATGATTGTTCATTTGTTTCCTCCAAGGATTGCATGGTTTTCCATGTGGCGTTTGTATAATATTCCAGTATAGAGATGTGTAACAAAAAGCAACATGACTAGACAGAATTGTTAACTAGGCCCCCTGCATGAGATGCACCATAGGCAAGAAAGATGTTACAGCATGAAGGATAAAGACAAGATCGTTTTCCAAACCGCTGGGGAGCCCAGCCTGATTCACAGAGATAACAGACTGACAGCACAGAAAAGAAAATCACTGACTGCTGCTCAGAGGTTTCCTCACGAGGCACAGACTCCCTGCTCTCCAGCGTGAAATGCCGTGATCTGTATTTGTTTGCTGAAGATATTGAGGCAAGAGTCAGCCAACAAACTGGCTGTCATTAAATACTGATCTTTTTTTAAAAAAAATAGATGGGCAGATGTTTTGGAAGGAGAGAGTGTTTTAACTGCACAGCCTGAGTGGAAATAGGCTGGAGGAAGGTGGTTACTCAGTTGTCATAAAGCCCCCAAGTCTTAAGTCTCCAGTTGTGGTTATCATCTTCACTTTCAACCCTCTCTCTGTATCTTCAAGCCACATCTGCTGACTTTACTGACATAAATAAGCTCCCAGGACTATCTCAGCCCTGCAGAGCAGGTGCAGTTATGGAAGAGCAAGCGAGGTTCTATTCTACCTCATCCTACAATGCTGCCAGGTGGCTTCTGATTGCAGAATCTTTATAACGAGGCAGGATGAAAGACAGGGTATGGCTTGATTTTTCAGATCCCTGGGTTGAGTTTTTCAGCACTGGCAGCTAAAAAAATACCCTTTTGACATCTAAACCCAGCAGCTTGTGAGTTGGGATCATGGAGAGAAGCTAGATACGGAACCCCGTGAGGCCAGATTTTCAAAGTCACGTCTCTGATGGTAACAGCACTTTTACATTTTGCGATGGGACTCATTGTTCAGTTAGGCTAGACACTGAGGTGAATGCAGCAGCACTGGCAGTAGCTATACCTTGTATAAGGGCATTTCAAAGCAGTTCTAATACACATAATAATGCTTAGCGCATATAGTATGATAGTGCCCAAAGGCCCCAATCACTGTACAAACACAGTCGAAGAGAGAGTCCCTGCCCCAGCTTTCAAAACATTACTTGATTAATACCCAGAACAGGTAAGTATCATGGTCCCCATTTTAGTGAACAATCCAACAGCTGCAAACGTCAAGTTAGGGAAAGTGAGGCACAGCCGGGTCGAGAGATTTGCCAACGGTCACTCAACAAGTCAGTGTAGGAACTAGAACTTGAAGCATACTCTTCCATGGCCCAGGTCTATGCTCTACCCATGAGATGACATGGCCTTTCTGATGGGATGAAGTATGTGGGCAGCCATTGGTCTGGCATTAGTAACTTAAAGGGATCTGGGGAATTTTATTCGAAAACTTCTCTTGGTCAAGAGCAAAACACTAATCAAACATTAAATTCACCCATCACCTCCCTGCAGGGTGACGCCAACAAGTCGGACACGGATGAGGACAAGACCTCTGCCAACTTTGATGAGGATATTGAGAAGCTGAAAGACCTCTGCGCAACAGGTAGGAATAAGCTTGAATTTCCTTCTGCAGTGTGCATAGCTAGGCTATAACTCTGCTTCCAGAGGCCCTGTAGAATGGTTTAGGTCAGTGTTTCCCACACGGTGGGTCCCAACCCACCAGGGGGGCCTGGTGGCACTCCCTCTCCCCAGCCACCTTCCACCCCCCTCTCTGGTGCTGTGACATCCCCAGGCAGAGGCATGGGGAGGGGGTGGGATCTCCGTGGCAAGTGCAGTGCGAAGGAAGCTGCCGAAACCAGCGAGCAGACAGCCAGCAGCCTGGTAGCAATTGCAGCCCGGCTGTGGGGAGAGAGGGGCTGGCTGGGGCACAGAAGGGGGAGCCAACCAGGAGGCTTGGGCTTGGGACTAGAGGGCTGGGGAGCGGGAGGAGCAGGTGCAATGGGTCCCCAAAAGAGACAAAATACAACTTAGTGAAAAGTTTGGGAATCTCCAATTTGGGAGCTCTATCCCTGTTATCTCCCCTTGGGGGCAGTACGTTTCACGTGGTGACTCACCTGGCTGTTATGCCTGTGGGGCGGTAGTTTTGCATTTTCAACTATTCAAAAAGCGTTTCAACTATGAAAAAGACTTTCCAGTCTTCACAAATACGAAGAGAGAACGTGTGTTGCTTTTCAATATATTCTTGCCTCAGATGTTAAACTGTATTGGCTATTTGGTCACATTACATCTCGTCCCCTTTTAATTTTCAGCGTGGGGTTTTGTTAGGAGAATTTTAAAGTGTCTTTCGGGCCTGTAGCCAAAATTCATTTGACTCAATGAAATGACAATCATTTGGCGACCAAATGGAATTAATTTCAGGTAGAAACAGAAGTATTTGAATGGTTGGGGTCACCAGTTGAGAGAGCTGGAGCAATACTAGGTGATTTAACTGCCCAGTCATTCAGCTCAACTGGAAAATTCCAAATATTGGGTTATCAAATTCAGCTTCCCTGCGGATGGTTGGCGAACAATCCACAGGCTGAAATTCCTTTGTATAAACTGTTTGCAGAACCACTTCGAATAACAGGCTCATTCCAGGGCAGGAAGGAAATTGCCATTTATTCTCAGGGAGCTCACAAATAGAATCATAGAATATCAGGGTTGGAAGGGACCTCAGGAGGTCATCTAGTCCAACCCCCTGCTCAAAGCAGGACCAATTCCCAATTAAATCATCCCAGCCAGGGCTTTGTCAAGCCGGACCTTAAAAACCTCCAAGGAAGGAGATTCCACCATCTCCCTAGGTAACCCATTCCAGTGCTTCACCACCCTCCTAGTGAAATAGTTTTTCCTAATATCCAACCTAAACCTCCCCCACTGCAACTTGAGACCATTGCTCCTTGTTCTGTCAGCGAAGGGCTGAATTCTCAGAATAAACTGTGGACAAGGAATAACGTGACCATTTCCAGTCTCCATAAACCTCCTAAATGCCATCATGTGTACAAACAACATAAGGGCATTAATGATCCCATTACAAACCCATTGGCCTGTAAAATGTGTATAGACAGAAGGATCTTGTGTGGTGCAGATTAGCAGATTTGGGACTTGATCTTCCACCCCTTGAAGTGATTGGCAAAGCTTCTATTGACTTCAGTGGTTTATGCTCAGGCTCTTTGTGCATAAGCAAATAAGCAAACTAATGCTAAAAAGACAAGGGTACTGCAGGACAAAAGCAGGCATCAGAGGAGAATTAGCAGGGGTAATAAAACCCTTGGCTTTCTCAGCGCAGTGGAGGTGGAATCATTTCCTGAACTACCTGTACCAGTGTAAAATTGTTCTTCTCTCCTACGTATGGCAGATGGTCCCATCCTCTCCCCTCCCCCAGACAGCAGATTCTGCAATCATTAAACCGAAATCCACTGAGACAGAATAAATTAAGAGTTGCTCTCAATTCCAGACCTTGTATTTGAATCTAGGCTTTTGATGACAGAGTATTACTGCACTCAGTAGTGCAGAAGGAGTTTTGTTATATAGATTCTTGTTTATCTTCATCATGAATACAGTTTCTGCAATTTTTAACGAGTACATTCTGTTGCTTTCTGAAAAGATCTGATGCTGTGTTGCCGTGTCTCAAGGAGAGGTCCATTTTCCCTTGCCATAGAGCTGAAACAATATGATGTAATTGCTCCATTTCTTTTTATTAACTAGCAGCAATTATCAGGGAAAAGTAGTTCATGAGATGATTCTGTTGTATGAGGATTGCTCCTATAGACGAATGCATGTTTAGAAACCCTTAGCATTTCCTGTCCCTGGAATGGATGACTAACGATCACAGGGCACATTTGTACAGTGCCTTCATCCCCGAAGGAATCCAAAGCCCTTTACAAATCATGAAATCTCCGCACCACAGGAAGAGAAGAATAATTTATCCAGCTTGTAATTTGGCCAACACATGAGGACTAACAGCCGTTTCTCTTAGGGGAAAAATAATAGCCATACAATCCACAACTCCAATCCTGATTGCTCCTGGGCGCCTGAACCTCCTTTTGTAGTCCAGGATGAGTTTCTAACTCAGCAAATGCTGATGGCCTAGCGGACAGAGCGCTGGACTGGACCTCAGGACACCTGGGTCCTATTCCTGGCTCTGCTGCTATCCTGCAAGGTTACCTTGGACAAGTCACTTGGCCTCACCATGCCTCAGCTTCCTCCATCTTTTAAGTGGGGATAATGAGACCAACCCCTTTTTAAAGCCGTGTGAGATCTACTGATAGAGTGCTAGGTAAGCGCTAGGGATTAGTATTAAGATTGGGCCTTCTGAATGCTCCTGTCCTTGGCCTTCTATCTCCTATGAAAGACCAACCCGGCATTGGTGGCACCAAGGAATTTCAATTTGATCTTCCATTCAGTGAAGTCAATAGGAGACAAACGGGGGTTGCCCATTTTAAAAGTGCTGGTTGCAGTCCTCAGCTAAGCTCCCGAGCGGAGGCCTAACTGCAGCTCGCCTTCTTTCCAGAGATGAAGATGTACTCCCTTGCCATCACCCCAAACGGTCACGTGGAGGGCAGGGCGAGCATACCCCCTCCCATCATCATGCGCACTGCTGCTACTCCCATGCCAACGCCAAAGTGCTCGCCGCACATGGATTCGGTGCACACCTTCGTGGACTCAAGGAGAGGGAGCAATGCTTCAGTTGATCCACTGAGCTACGATCAAAAGTCCTTGGTATGTTACCAGTATTAGCAGTTTCCCCCTATTATCTGCCTTTTATATAACACAGAGGGAGATATAAATGTATAATATTATAAGCAGGGCTGGTAGCACTGCCTCTGATTAAGGTTGCCCAATATTTCCCATTATAAGACCCTGTTTTCAATTGCATATAACTTTGAAAAACTCTAACCATTTGGGCTGAAATTTTCCATGCTGTGTATCTGCCTCAGGCTGAATTGTTTTGAGAAATTGCAGCCAAAACAGTTTAGCCATTTCTGAGAGGGAGGCTGGGAAAAAATACATTGTTTCTTCCCATGTTAAAAAATTCGGGTGACCTTTTCTTTGACCAGCTTTAGTGTCCCCGTGCTTTGGAGCTAGGATTTTAAATTTAGCAGGGGGTGGGTCATGGACTTGCCCTTTGCCATCCTTGTGAAAAGGCTTTCCCACAGACAGCAACCTCCTGGTAGCCCTGACTCATCCCCAGAGCAGGTCCAGCCTGTGCACTGAATGAGGCAGGGGTCCTGTGGGAAAAAATAGTAAGTGATCATGTAATTAAAGACGGTATCGTAATGCATACACACAAAAAGACATAATTAAGGTTGCACACTGGCAATCTTCATTTTGGCATTTACTAATTTTTGAGTACTTGATTTTGCAACCTTTAATGCTCTTTTAACATTTTGGGTGAGTTTGGTAACGTATCTAGGTTGTGTATGGAGCTGATCGCGAATCGGAATTGCCATTCTGTGGGAAATTCTCAAATTTGTTTTCAGACAAAAATTCGAAGTATCTAAACCTATCACAGAATGAGAAGATGTGAAAAATTTTGATTTGGAAATGTCATAATGTTTTGTTTCAGGTAGACATTAATCTCTGCACGGCCTGACCTATCACGGTGTTTGATGGGATTTATAGTTCTGGGTCCCGCAGTCCCCATTCCCCTCTATTGGCCCAGCTCCCTGGTTGGACTACATCTCCCATGATCCATCGTGGTGACTTCCTATCCCATGATGCACTGCGACTCAGCAGTAATTTTTCCTACCCTGGGTTGGGTGGTGGAAATGAAGTGATCGGTGGGAAGATGAGATCAGACAGCAGGGGGCATGATGAAATAGGGCAGGATGGTCATAACAGTGGATTCGGGCTGCAGAGAAGCAGTGGGGAATCCAGAGTTGCAGACTGGACTGTCAGGTGCAGCACTGGATAGCGTGTGGTCTGTCATCAGGAGGGCTGACGTGACAGGGAATGCCTAGAGCAGTCAAGGTGAGTTGCTGGTGCTGTAGTCACTGGAGAAACTAGGGTCTGGGGGCTTTGCTGCTTCATCCGCAGAAGGCTTAAGGAAGAAGAGGTTACTGGGTGCTGCACAGGTGGGGCACTGGGACTCAGTGCCCCTGAACAGTTTCCCTTGTTTACGATGGAGGTGTCAGGAGAGGGAATGAGCTGACTGGATGCAGGCAGCCCCAAACATTACACCTGGGCACTCTCTTTGAGGGGTTTCATTTGGCTTTTGCACAGGCAAACCACTATGGTAAGAAACACGTTCTTCCTGGAATGACTGCACAGCCCCCGGGCGTCTCAGAGATGAGCAAAGCATCTGTCAAGCGGAACTAAAGGGTGGTGGCTCTGCAGGGCCCTAATTCCTTGTGGCAGTTTAATGATTGGCTAGATGTGAGGCCCACCTGTGAGGCCGGAATAAACCGTCTTGGAATGACTGCGAAGGACTCTGAATGCTTGTTCACCCCTCGTACGGCTGCTCTGCTCTGTTCTTGTTTATTATACAATGGCCCCTTCTTGAGGGGAACAAACAGAAACCAAGAGCTGAAATAATGGATTATCCTTAGGGAATAACCATCTGAGGGGAGAGAGATGGCTGGAATTACTGAACAGGCAGGAGATTTTGTTGCACTCACAACAGGGCAGTGGGTGGGAAGGCGTGAATACAGAAGGACCAGAGTTAATGGACAAAAAGGGGTTTCTATCTCTGCTTATTGGCCCTGTTTTTCACTATGTAACTTCAATATCACGTTGAAATCAAAGCAGTGGCGCATGAATGCACTTCATGCAACGTGCTGAGGTAGAACCGTTATCACCTTTGGTAAGCTGCTTAGCCAAGGTATTGCTTCTGAAAAGAAAACAGAGATGACTCTATAGTTTGTCTTGAGTTTACATGGGATTGCTGGCTCATGGCTCGAATCAGGACACAAGCAGCTACCCAATGGAACAGCACTGAGATGAACCTTAATCGAAACCAATGCGAACGCTTAAAGCAGCCAGCTCTGTTTCTGTGCCGGAAGGAAAACGTTAAGAGAAAAGATTTCTTTCTAGGCTTCGCTGCTCTGACCTTGAACGCTTTCGTCCCAGGAACTATTCAGCAATGCAAATTGCAGTTACAAAATAATCATCATCAGAAATTTACTGGGGGGGCGGAATCCATTTGAGTACATATTTAAGGAAAAATAAGGCTACTGTCTGGGTAAAATTTTCAAAAGCACTTAGGTGCCTAAGACCCATTGAAAGCCAATGTGATTTAGACACCTAAATCACTTATGGACACATTTTGCTGCCAGAGTGGTGTACAGGGATCTTAGTTAGGGTAAATGAGAGGCAAGCCCTTAGGAACCAGTTGTGTGATTTTTACGGACACACACAAGAATGTATCTCCCGTGACTGATCCCAGCCCTGCCATCAAGTTGGTGTGGAGCAGTCCCACTGTAACTGATTTCTCTGAAAAACAAGACTACATCAAGTGTTCTATAAAAGGGCTCTGTGACCCCAAGAGGGGATTCCATAAAATCCTCCTTGGCTGGGCTCCTCCGCTTGCCGTGAGACGCATGGATCTGGAGCAGATGCGGAGCCAGCCTTGAGTTTTCATTAGTTGTGCCCAGTTTACATGGGGAATGTTTTAAGACAGGTATTGAGTCAGGTATGTGGACTCAGACCCCAGGCCATAGTGCGTTGAGTGTAATTTCGGGGGGGGCAGGAATCAATAGCTTTTGTCATTCTGGAAAAGGGGAAGTCCTATGGAAGCCTTCTTGGAGCCTTTCTAATGTGGCTGGCCTGCACAGGCAGGACCCTGGGTGCTTAAAACCTACATGGGATTCAAGAATCCTGCACTGCGAAGGGTTCTAGCCATGCAGAGGGTGCACTTTAAAGGAACACCTTCGATGTGGGTTCACCTGGGTACCCAGGTATATGGGAGTCAAGGAGATGAGAGAGATTGCAGAAAAGCACTCAACTGGAACTCCAGCCTTCCCAGTGTGGGGCCCCATCCAGCAGCATGAACTTACCTTCTTAGCCCTTAACACCACCTGCAATGTTCCCTGTCTGTTCTTAACTGAATGACTGTCTTGTCTCTGGAGCCGCCTGGCAGTTTGTGCCATAAAGGCTGGGCTAAATTCCTTTCCCTCTGAGCCGTTTCCTTCCCTCTTCTGCTTGAGGGTGAAATCTCATGTGTTGTTCCCATCTCTCAGTCCAGCCTCCGCAGCTCGCCGTGTGCAAACTGGGGACCCAACAGCAACTGGGGAAGCCGACGCTCAAGCTGGAACAGCCTCGGCAGGGCCCCAAGCCTCAAAAAGAAGAACCAGTCTGGGGAAAGAGAGTCCTTGCTCTCTGGGGAGGGGAAAGGGAGCACGGATGATGACTCTGATGATGCCAAGTCCAGCACTGTCAGCAGAGCCACCCTGCACCGCCGGGCGGAGTCCCTGGATTACAGAAGCTCCTTGGACTTGCCTGAGCTTCTCCAGCTCCCCACCATGCGCCACTCCCTCAGCATCAACCCCATGGCCATGCTGCCCACAGAGTACCAGGACTGCAATGGCAAAATGGTGCATGTGCCCAGCGAGTTCTTCCTGCGCATCGACAGCCACAAGGACGACCTCTTGGACTACGACGACGACATGGACGATGTAAGTTGCCGTGGGAATCGGGCAGCTCTGGGGGTAAGGGAGCCTTTCCCCTGTAAGGTGCTTGTTCAAATCCTGGGCAGAGATGTTACCACCTACTGCCTCGTGTAGATGAAAGAGTCCAGTTCCTCGTGAATTGGCATCCACTTCCCAAAGAGTTTTGTTTGCGAACAGGGGGGTTCTGTTACTGTCTGATCTGTAGGCAAGGTGAAGTGTCCAGGCGATGGGCACCCACCTGGGTGAGCTACAATCCCTGGCTGTGGTTGAGACCCATCTCAACCAAATTTCACCCCAGGCACCCTTGGGTGCCCAGAGCAGCTTGCAATGCCCTTTGCAAGAGCAGCATTAACCCAGCTGCTCTCCAGCACCAAGCTGGACATTGTTAACCCTCCACTGTGACCTCTCCAGGACCTGATTCCTGTTTCAGGGACTTTGCTCCAGAGCTTCTGTGAAGGGAGGATAAAGCTCAAAGGATTCCAGTCACTGCTGACACCCGGTTTGAGTTTTCAGATTGGAGTCGCAACGCTACAGTCAGACTCATCTCTGAAATAGAAAAACTGGCCTCATGTCAGCCAGCATGGCGGGTCAGCACGTAAACCGGTGTCGATGTAATTACAGTGACGCGGTTAGGTAGCTTAGGCACAACATTTTGGTATTGCAAAAAACAAAACAGGATTTTCAGTGCCTCTGAATAGGGGAGTTTAGGCGGATGCTCAAAAAATTCATAGCCCTGGGGGATTAAATTCATTAATTAATAAGCACTTAGTGCAACACCATGAAGCTTGGAAGCCCCTCAGTCCTTCTGTCTGGTGGGAAGATGAAGAGACAAAATATGACTGGATTGGTTTCAAGTGCAGCGAGCACCCCGCGGCTCCCGCTCACTTTGGGGGAAGCTTTGAGGGAGTAAGGGCTTCAAGGTTTGGCCATGTATGTAGGGTTCATGGAAGTTTCCCTTCCTCATGCAGAGAAAGAGCATTAGATCTTTACCAGCCTGCGTCAGTCCCAATCCCAGCTGCTGGTCTGAGCTTCAGATTGCCCTGTAACAAGGTTTCTATTCTACCTTGGGCTGTACGTGTACAGTACTTCCGTTGTGTGGGGCTCTTATTCATTTCCCTGCGAGCCTGATGGGACGGTAGGAAAGATGGTGTTTTGGATAGGGCTTTGGATTGGGACACGGGGAAACCTGAGCGCAATTCCTGGCTTGGCCACAGGCTCCATTTGGACCTTTGGTACGTCACTTTACTGTGGTGATGGGGGCCAGATAAGGACACAGATAGAATTTGGCTGTGAAAATGAAGACCTAACACTGCCTTGTCCAGAAACCACCTATAGCGCAAAGAATTCAGAGGGTCGTTTGAGAAGGGCAGAGGGACCCCGTGGGCTAAAGAGCTGGGAAAACTAAAGAAAAGAGCAATTTCTTTGATCTCTCCAGAGTTACTGCTACAGGATTCGTAAAGCCCTGGAGCCCTACAAACCGGAATGGTGCAAGAATCACGAAGACTGGTCCCTCTACTTGTTTTCTCCTCAGAATCGGTAAGAAACCCCGGTCCACTGGGTGGGCAGGCAGCTGAAAACTGGGGCTTGGGAGAAGCTCATTCCGTTGGGCAGGACAAACCCAGCCCCAACTGAGGGGGAAGAATTCTGTGAGGGAATCCTCACAGGGCTTGTGTTTCTCTCTCCTAGCCATTCGAGTGGGTTTTACCACAGGAAGGGCTGTTCTAGACTCCAGTTTTAGTCAGCCCTTCCGTAGGCAAAACTCTTGGTTGGGGAAAGACTGAGTGAGAACGTCCGAAGTCGGCCCCTTGTGCTCTAAGTAACGTTTCTGTGATAGGCAGAATCACTGGACAGGGCCGTCGGCACCTTGGCAGGACGCTGAGGTGACTTATTAATACAGTTAAAATTATAATTGTTATTTCTTTCATTGATAACGAGTGCAGCAAACTGTGCACAGGAAGGACCTATCTCAGCACGCTGAGGTAGTTACCATCGAAGGATTTAAAGGAGTCTCTCAGGAAAGGAAATCCCAATCAGAGGGGTGAGTTCCAAGCTTGCTGACCCAGACTGGCTTCTGGCCATGACCTCTTCCGTTCTGCCCCTTTTCCCCCAGGATTCGAGCGATGTGCCAGAAGGTTATAGCCCACAAAATGTTTGACCATGTAGTTCTGGTCTTCATCTTTCTCAACTGCATCACCATTGCACTGGAGAGGCCCGATATTGACCCCCACAGCACGGTGAGCAGCCCCCCCATCCCTTTTCCTGCACCCTCAATAACTTTTCCCCAGCCACATCGGGGAAGGAACCTGCGGGATGGAGGATGCTGGGTTTCTGCTGTTTAAATGACTTGCCTCCTGCTGTTGATTTCTGTTTTACAGGAGAGGATATTTCTGAGTGTCTCCAATTACATCTTCACTGCAATCTTTGTTGCTGAGATGATGGTGAAGGTAATTATGTGTCTGCGCTAAACCTGCCAACCCACAATGAGGTCTGGCCTCTGTGGTCTGAGAGCTAAGATGAGCTGTATTTCACTGCACGTCAGTGTCCGTCATGTACAGCAAATAAGCAAAAGGCATGAGGCCACAGCTTAAATAATTTTCTCCTACTGGTTCTAGGTGGTGGCCCTTGGCTTCTTCTCTGGGGAAAATACCTATCTCCAAAGCAGCTGGAATGTCCTGGATGGGGTCCTGGTCTTTGTATCCATCATTGATATTATCGTCTCCATGGCATCAGCAGGCGGGGCTAAGATTTTGGGTATCCTTCGAGTCTTAAGATTGCTGCGGACCTTGAGGCCTCTCCGGTACTTTCACACTGGGCAAAATGGATGTGTGGGGTTTGGGCTTGTCTTCATGGCAAGCTATTAAGCGTCAAGCCATGGTCTGAATCTACAGTGGAAGTCCAAGTACACAGCTTGGCTACTGCTTCTTGAAAGCACAGTAAGCTAAGCTCCATTCCAGGACTTTCACTGTGTTGTAGCAGTGTCCACCTGGGACATTACTGTGCAGCTAGGTGGTGTGCGGTAGATTCACACCCGGACTTGTCACGCTGTAACTTCCATGTAGGTGAGCCCTTTGTTTTGTTTTGATGAATCAAGAACTTTGAAGGGAAAGACTTGATTCCTTAAGTGACTGAAACTCTTCTGAAGCAAAATATCCTCTTGAAGCTAGTGCTCAGATAGCACGTTTCATCCAAAGACCTCAAAGCGCTTCACAAAGGGGGTGAACATTGTTCCTCCTTTACAGGTGGGGAGAATGAGGCACAGGTTGATGAAGTGACTCACCCACCAACAATAGGGCAGGCCTCCTGAGTCCCAGTAATCTATCCACTGGGACACACTAAAAATACTGAATGGTTTCACTGCAATGCATGCACCATGTCAATTGGAATCGTCATGATAGCGCATCTCACTTTATGGCATCCTTGCAAATTCATGATGAAAATGCTCTGATAGAACAATAGCTGATAATGATGGGAAAACTAATGGTATTTTACTGGGCCATAAAAAATTATTCTCACTACAAATGAGTGTTAACAGAAATTGGCAACGCTGATTGTAGTGAATCTGGTCTGGGATGGAAAAACAAGTAATTGCTCTAGTAGAGGGTTCTTCCAAAGTTGTAAAATGTCAGTCACATTTCTGGATTAACACCAAGCCAGGATCCTTCTCTGTTTCAACATCAGAGTCATAAGAAGTTATGAAAAGGGCAAGGTTGTGTTTTCGTGAAGATTTCTGGGCCAGCTTTGCAGTCTCCAGCCTGGTTTACACACAAGGTTGAACCAATTTAGCTAACGGTATGATTTTAAACCACTTTAGTTAAACTGGTACAGCCTCCAGTGTGGACTCTTATATTGCTGTGAGCTTGGCTTTGATCTGTTTATCTGGCATTGATCAATTTACAGACCCAAGCTTACCCAGTATAATCAGTCTGAAACCAATAAGAGTGTGTCTGCACAGTAATTTAACTAACTTGTTTTTTTAAACCAATTTAAAATAATCCAGTGTAGACAAGCCCTCAGCGGCGATGGAGAAATATCTGAGCTTTCAATTGCTTATTATCAGAAGTGAATAAATGTGAACACCAAATGGGTTTCGGTCCATCTGTTGTTTATGCACACATCAGCACCTGTGAGGAAGACCAAAATGATTGGTACTTTGTCTTCACCACTATCTAGAAGAGCTGATCTCGTTTGGGGCAGGAAGTTTTTATCGGACTCGCACTGTGTGTATGATGAATGCCTTCCTCACACTGCCTTTTTATCATAATTTTACATATCAGGCTGGCTTCCTAATCAAAGTGACATGTTACACTGCACAACCTTACAGCCATTCCCAAGTGAGAAGGTCACATTGGCTGAGAGTGAATTGGCAATTAAACAGGTGCTGGCAATAATTTGATAAGCTCCAGCTTCTGTAGTCTTTCTCCTGTGTGTGTATATCTAATACCACCTAGACACAATGTAGCTGTTGGCTAGGAAGAGGAAAGGTCATGTTTTCAATATTTGAAAGAGGAATGAAGGGAATTTGCATTTTGTTTGATAGCACAGTAATAAAGGGACAAGGAGAGTATAAATACTTGGGGAATTCTTATCAGCTCACTTTGCCCGTGCCCATTTTGCATCATGCCCGACAAAAACACATTCACTTTCCCATGAAATTTCTTTGGAAACAAGATAGGTGGCTCCAGAAACGTGGGGTCCTTAGGAAAAAGAGCCGTTTGCCTCTTCCCATCACACTAGTAAGCCAGAAACAATCTGGCCCGTTCCTACCTAAGCAATGGCTTTTGTGTATTTGCTAGTTATTTTCTAGGTGACAAAGAGGTGGCATTAATGTTTCCATCTAATTTGTTGCTTCGGTCTCCCGGTCTGTTGTCTGAATTTGTCTTTATTGCTGCCCTCTTAGACTGCAATCTCTTCAGAATAGGGACCATCTCTTTCTTTGTGTATTTACAGGGCCTAGTGCAATGGGGCACTATCTTGGCTTGGCCTTTTTAGGCAGTACCGTATTTCACAATGGTTGTGGTGGATTCTCCATCATTGGCCATTTTAAACAGGAATGATTTGGGGGAAGTTCTACGGTCTGTGTCATGCAGGAGCTCAGACTGGATGACCACAATGGTCACTTCTGGCCTTGGAACCTATGAAGAATAATGGAAATCATGGCACAAATGATGTATGAACAAATACAAGGGACAGAATTGGGAAGAATTAGTTCCAGAGAATAATTCAACCTGCTGTATTCCTGAAGAGCCCACCATTGACTCTGGTGTTACTTACATAAGCCTTGTGCACTATTATTCCAGAGACCATTCAGTTTCTCTGCTACATTATTCATTTCTAGCTTGAGAGAACAAGAAGCTACTTAAACACTCCTCACTTAGAGGAAGTATAAACCTTCTGATGTTACCTATTCACTGGGCAGCCCCAGGCTTACAACATCTACCTTTTATCCTCCGTCCCTTCTTCACACATCTCTGCTTGCCTAAATTATCAGCCTCCTGGGCATTAAAGTGTTAACTTAGCCATGCAAAATGAAGCTACCAACAAGGATCCTGCAACCCCCTCTCTTAAAAAGTTTTGACATTTCTCAATTGAGACATCCAGCCTCCTGGAAAAACTCCCCGGGGCTTGTGGTGCTGTTTGGGCACAAACACATTTCTCAGACTCACACAGGAGATCCTTTCTCTAGGCACTCACATGGAAAAGAAAAACACCCAAACTTTCTGTGCTGCTGTAAACCATGCCTCTGGATCCATGGCTGCGCTCCTCTGCAAATAGAAGGCAGTCGGTGCTGCCCATTAATGACCCCTTCTTGTTACGGAGCTGTCAGCCACAAATCCCTTTTGTCTCTGAGCCAGTTCCCGGACCGTTTAGGTAGGAAACAACCCCCCTTGTATGATAAAACACCCCTCCCCTTTATAAATGGTGTCTTGCGGTTCAATCCCGCAAAAGGGGCCGAGCACCATGGGCCCGAGGCAGCCAAGCACTTACGCCTGTGCTTAACTAAGTGCTTGAGGGATCCCACTGACAGCAAGTTGAACATGTGCTTAAGTGCCTGGCTGGATTGGGGCCAGGGTGCTCAGTACGTTGCAGGATTGAGCCCTTGGTTCATTAGCCTTCCTGAGCATTTCCAAAGATGGAACATCTGAGTAACGTGTGTTCTAAAGGTCTGAGCCCAAGACTGCGAGCCACAACTGCAGTGCTCTAAACCTGCCTCTGCCTTCAGAAATCCACCAGAAACAGACTCTCTGTGGCCTCGCTTAACCATCCTGCGCTTGAGCTTCTCCAGCTATAAAATGGAGGCTAAGACTGCTGTGCGTTACTGTCTATATGCTGCTAGAAAGATTTTACATGCTTGGTATTTGGGGGCAAAGTTCAGGCTTGGTATAAGGCCACTGAACGCAACATCTGCCGTTCCAGATCAGATGAGTGGTTCAGTATCCTGTCTCTGAGGGTGGCCAATATTTCAGAGGAAGGTGCTAGAAACCCTTTAGTGGACAATTGTGAGAGAGTCCAACGGAAGGCAACGAAAATGATCAGAGGGATGGGGGCACATTACTTATGAGGAGAGGCTGAGGGAACTGGGCTTCTTTAGGCTGCAAAAGAGAAGAGTGAGGGGGGATTTGATAGCAGCCTTCAACTACCTAAAGGGGGGTTCCAAAGAGGATGGAGCTCGGCTGGTCTTTGTGGTGGCAGATGACAGAACAAGGAGCAATGGTCTCAAGTTGCAGTGGGGGAGGTCTAGGTTGTATATTAGGAAACACTATTTCATTAGGAGGGTGGTGAAGCACTGGAATGGGTTACCTAGGGAGGTAGTGGACTCTCCTTCCTTAGAGGTTTTTAAGGCCCGGCTTGACAAAGCCCTGGCTGGGATGATTTAGTTGGGGTTGGTCCTGCTTTGAGCAGGGGGTTGGACTAGATGACCTCCTGAGGTCCCTTCCAACCCTAATCTTCTATGATTCTATGAAACAACCTGCCCATAGGAAATATTCCTTCCTAACCTTCATCAGCTAGTGAGACTGGCTTGTGCCCTGCAGCAGGAGGGTTTATATCCCTTATACATTTTTATCTTATCTAATGTAACTGTGAATGTTCTCATTGTCTATAAAAACGTCTAATCTGCTCTGAGGCCCTGCTACATATTTGATCTCAGTGAAATCTCACGGCAGTGAGTCCCACGGGTTTAATTAGGCATTGTGTAAACTAAGTCTTTCCTTTTTGGTTTTCAGTTTCAACTTCACCCCCTCTCTGTCTGTTACGAGAGGGTAAATTGGAGCATGCAACTGACTCTATACCCAGGGCACCGTGCATAATGTTGTTATGCAGCCTCGTTATTTTTTTTTTTAATTGCCGCACAACTGTATTCTAAGTTGTGATTTAAAAACAAAGGCCTGATTCGCATCTATACTACGGCCCTTTAAAGCACACATGCACTCCCGAATGGTGGGAGATGGCCTTGGCGTAAATGAACACCAGGCCCAATGTTTCCAGCTCTCACGCGTGCAAAGAGAACTTTCAAAATGTGAGCCAAGTGCAGCCGATGCAGAGACAGCTGCCTGAGTGTCCAAAGAGCCTTAAACACTAGCCCTGAGAGAAGGGCAGGTCCGTGAACACTTATCTCTTTCACAGGGGTGTGGTGAGGCTTAATTCATTAACACCTGTACAGCGCTTTGAAATCAACTGATGAAAGGAGCTATAGAATAGTATAGCGTAATATACTATATGATAGGGTACCATACCAGTACGTATGGGGGATAAAGAAGGGTTATATCAGCCTGACTGCCCACAAGGAGGAGGAGGAGGCGGAAGAATAAAGATGGGATCATGGGGGCTAGACTAGATGGCCCTGGCGGTCCCTTTTAATTCTATGGTTGTATGAGTCTAGGATGAGTGCCAAGCTTTGTTCCGCTGCTTTCCCCCCAGAGTCATCAGCAGAGCCCCAGGTCTAAAACTGGTGGTGGAGACCTTGATATCGTCCCTGAGGCCTATTGGAAATATTGTGCTTATCTGCTGTGCTTTCTTCATTATCTTCGGGATCTTAGGGGTTCAGGTAAGACTCTCCCTCTGTAACCAAGCGCTCATTCAGATAGTCCCTTCTCGCCCGCCAGCAAGACAGAGAGGCCATTCAGAGTAGGCTTTCCCCTGCTGTGTGAGGCAAGCCGGTCCAATCCCTCCAGGGACCCGAAATCCTCTTACCTCAACAGAGGGGCTTCAGGCTTTGTGCCTGAAGAGGGGTACCTCAGCTGCGGGGACAAGGGAAGGAATCCCAAATTCCAACCAAGGCAAACAATGATCTGTCATTGGAACAGAACCAAGTGCCCCTGCCAGGCTTCCTGAGATATTTTTTCCCCCTCCTCTTCAATTTCAGCTTTTTAAGGGCAAGTTCTACAGCTGCGAAGGACCAGACACCAAAAACATCTCCACTAAAGCCGACTGCACTAGCATGCACTACAGATGGGTCCGGCGGAAGTACAACTTCGACAATTTAGGACAGGTAAAGTAGTTCTTGTTCCGAGAGGTTTGTGTGTCATTGTCTGATGGGCTCTTCCGAACAGGTCCCTCTCCAGCATTGGCCTTCCAGCCATCTCATCGGCAGGTCCCCCGTTTAGGCACTGGTCTACGTGAGGGGGGTGGGGGCGGTCAACCTAAGATACGGAACTTCAGCTACGTGAATAGCGTAGCTAAAGTTGCCGTATCTTAGGTCGACTTACCTGGCCGTGAGGATGGCGGCGAGTCGACCGCGTCCACTCCCCCGTCGACTCCACTCCCGCCTCTCGTGAGCTGGAGTTCCGGAGTTGACGGGGAGCGCGTTCGGGGATCGATTTATCCCCGTCTAGACGTGATAAATTGACCCCCGATAGGTCGATCACTACCTGCCGAGCCAGTGAAGACCTGCCCTTAGTTTCATTTATTTAAAGGTTTTATAAAACCCAGGAGCTGAGAGTCTGGTCCCATTATTCACCCTGAGTAGTGCCATTACTTCAGGGCATCACTCCTGGTGTAAGGTACCGTTCAGCAGGAATACGGGGATTGCAATCTGGCCTCCAGTGTGAAATAATACCTTGATTTTAAAAAAAAAATAATAATTTAATCCGATTTTATGTGTTTCAGTGGCATGTATAAATAAATAACAGCACTGAGCAACACTACACCTAACCCACAGGTCAATCCGTTATGTAGCCCCCGGTGGGATCCACCGAGGATGTTTCACCCCTGGGCTCTTTAACTCAAGCATTAGCAGTTGATGCTTTAGCTCTGGAGGTCCCTGGTTCTCTCCCCACTGAGTTGAGCCAAATGATGGCTGTCACATGCTCTGAGCAGAATCAATAGCATGACCTCACATTTTCACTCACGCAGCATTGCCAACTCCTGTGATTTTTAGCATGAGTCTCGTTCTGGAACACCCTTCCAATGGGAACAGTGGGGGCAAACAACCTCACTCGCTTCAAGATGGCACTTGACAAAATTATGAACGGGACTATATTACAGGCTTGCCTGTAATAGGAGGGGACTGTAGTCAGTGACTCAGGGGTCTCTTCCAGTCTTATGTCCTATATCCTATGTTCCTATTTTCTCCCTTAAAGCCCCAGTACCTGGAGTCAGTTAATTGTGTGAGAATCTCAGCTTTCATTTTTTAGAATATTTAGTTTCTAACCTTCGTGTTTGCAAAGAAAAACTTGAAAAAAGTTACCCCCTCCAGATTTTTGTACACTGGGTATGGGCAATGCTGCCAACGTAGCTGAGCAGAACCTGGCCCTTGTTTATAAGTTCATGAATGAATCTGAGTGGAACTAAAAATGAAGCTAACCAGTCAGCTTTCATTGTCCAAGCTCCGTTAAATGCAAAAACCAAACCAACAGCTTAAATGGTTAAAATCACCGTAAATTCCATTTTAAAAAATTATCTCCATTGGGTTATGAATTGTTTTTGCGGGTCATTTGACTCTTCTTGGTTTCATTCCCTCTTTAAGGCTTGAAATTCATTGTGTTCCCCCATCAACGTCGTCTGCAAATGTTGATTGTTTTTCTCCCCTATGTACTGAAGGCAGAGGAAACTGATATGACTAATATGCATCCGAAGAAGTGGGCTGTAGCCCACGAAAGCTTATGCTCTAATAAATTTGTTAGTCTCTAAGGTGCCACAAGTACTCCTGTTCTTGATATGACTAAGTAATTCTGCCATTTCTCTTTGGTCCCTATGGCCCTACCTTTCCACTGCTAGTCTGAGAAACTCAAAGAGCAAATGAGTCCACCCCTTCCTCCTTTAAAAGACCAAGAGGAGGTGAATAGCAGCAGGGCTGATCTTTATATTATTTCTTTTCCTTGCAGGCTCTGATGTCCTTGTTTGTCCTCTCATCCAAAGACGGCTGGGTGAACATCATGTATGATGGCCTGGATGCTGTGGGCATTGACCAGCAGGTAGAAACAAAAGACCTCAAAAAGTTTTACGAGTTTAGTGTTCGTGGTCCGGATCACTATGCACAGATCACAGCTGTTATGAGTAACCCTCCCAGGCGCTCTGCTATGGCGCCGATTCCAGTAGGGGCGTCCAAAGCAGCAGCATGGACCTGAACAGCCTGAGAACCGCAGCTGAGCACTGACGGGCACTTCAATCAGGGCTCAGTTATCCCCTGGATGCCGTCTGGGTGTGATGGGTGTAATGGGGCCCCAGTTCAACAGATGTCTCCAGAAGGAATTCTGGGAATCTCACCTGGAATTCTTCCTAGAGGTCCCAACCTCCCCAACATGGCAGCTACCCATCCCTTTAAAAAGCTACAGCAAACTCCTCACTCTATGCCTGGACAGCTTGGGTGCCTGAAGTACAGCCCTAGCCCCACCATCACCGCAACTTCCCTACCCTCTTTCAAGCCCTGAGTGTCCATGGAACCACTAAGAGGGAGCAGGGGCTACGTCCTCCAGTGGGACTCTGGGCAGCCCCTATGCAGCAAGGTTGGGAAGGAAGCTCTTTGTGTACCTACGCAGGGGCTGATCAGAATCTTGCTCCTACTCAGAAATGGTTGCAATGGCCCATCTAGTGCAACTTTCACGAGTGACATGGAGCCTGTCAAAATGGGCATGTTTTTGACACATGAATATGCAGAAGATAGAACCCACTGCCCACAGGCAGCTCTGAGTCAGCCCTCTTCCTCCCCCGGCATCGCTGAACTGCTGAAGAAAACACCATGCGGTGAAAGCTACAAATCATGTCCTAAGGACAGATATCTTGGGACCCGAACACCAGCTCCAAGGGGCCCTGAAAACATGTTCCATTCCACTGTTGCTTTAAGGAATGCATGGTGAACATGAATGTATTGACATGAAATAGAAAATAATTGGGGATGTTAAAAAGAGGTGCTACCGAATTTGGGTGTTGGGAGGCTTAAAGCATTAGCAAAATTGTCTCGAGATCCTTACGTGAATGGTACCATGTCGTAACAGCGATAACCCTTTGTACTTAGCATCTGCAGTGTCCAAGGATCTCAGAACAATGGACAAACATCAGTTAAGCATTAATGTCCCCCTGCAAATAATAAATTTGAGCCTCTCTTCAATTAAAACTATTTCCATGCCAAAAATTGGGATCTTGCGAGAGATTTTTTTTTTCCAGCCAAATTATGGTTTTCACAAAAGAAGGTAAAATTTCAGCAGGGGAGAAAATGGGTGAAAGGAAAACTTGCTGAGAAACAGCCCATGGGTCCTCCAAGCCCTATTCTCCTACCCATGGGAATCCACCACTGACTTCCCACTGCCACTGGACACTTGATATGTCTGTTTTACAATGACACACACTTTTCTCCTCTTCTCTCTTGCCCTCTCCTGCCTCCCATCTCTCAGCCCGTCCAGAACCACAACCCATGGATGCTTCTCTACTTCATCTCCTTCCTGCTCATCGTGAGCTTTTTCGTGCTCAACATGTTCGTGGGGGTGGTGGTGGAGAATTTCCACAAGTGTCGGCAGCACCAGGAGGCAGAAGAGGCCCGTCGGCGGGAGGAGAAGCGGCTGAGGCGCCTGGAGAAAAAGCGCAGGAGTAAGGAGCTATACGTGTCTGGTCGGTAGACTGCATTACAAACCAAAATCTTTCTGAGCTCTGCCTGCTTCCAAAGCAAGACTTTCGTTTTCCTTTGGTTTGGTTGACATGGGACTAAAAAGGCCGCTTTGTTTATTTACTACTTTGGCGACGCCTTAAGTCTCAGGGCTACACAGTCCCTGGACGTGTTCTCTATGAGTTTGATAAATGTTGCCCTTTATGTAGACGGTAGGCAGAGTAAAGGCCAGCATGCCTGGAAAGCAGAGTCCTAGCTGAATTACTAGTGAGCCCCTCAAGACATGATTCTTGCATTGTCTTCAGGAAGCAGGAAGAAGGCCGTTGGGCGAGTGAGGGCTTTACTGAGTAAACGCGAGCAACGTTTGCCACGTGTGCGAAGGCAACTCACAAAGGCATCCCAGTGCCCTGGGGCTTAAAGTGTCGCCTGCATTTTTAAATTACGATGGTGGTGGTTTGATTTTTTTTTTTCCTTAGATCAAATAGTTGCGATGCTTTTTAGGATCTCGGCGCATGGCCCCGCATGCCACGCACATGCTGCATGAGGGCATGAGCAAAACAGGCTTGGGGAGAGGAACGGAGCCCCAGTGCGGGGTAGTCGAGACAAGTCTTCTTGAATGGAATCCATTAGACAGGATGCTTGCCTAGCCACCTATTGCAGGAGACCTTTAGCACGGAGTCATGATGTAGGTCTTGGACAGGCCTTCTAAACACGTTGGATGGAAACAGTGGCCACTGGAGAGTCATTAGGGACCTACATAGCTTTGATAAATTCTGACCGTGGATTTCTTTTAGGGATGGCCAAACCAGACCAGAGAACATCAGAACCTGCCTGAGTCTTTGCCCATTTCTAGAACTGAACCTCCTTGAAAGATCCCCAATGTTTCAGCTCATTTTTCCCTGTCGTAATTTTTCACCTTCACTGTCCCTGCCAGGTTCCAGCTGCAGATAGGAACTAGCAGGGAGTTGTTTGGGTATTCCCAGCATGCCCAGCTGCAGGAAGCAATAGAAACGTCCCCAAGAACCTGTCACACATGATTCCCAGCCACATGAGCAGACCCAGGAGACTAGTTTTGAGCTGGTTGAAATTTGTCATACCTGAGTGGAGGGATACGCCCCAAGCTGCAGTTTCTTAGTGGAGCACAGACGGATCTAAGAGGCAAGGTGCTTTCAGCTCCACCAGGATCTCTAGCACTTTGTCACGTGGACTGTACCCTTATCATTATTCTGCCTCACATAACCTCCTGCAATGGCCGAGTGCCCCTTAATGACAAACTGCCAGCAGTCTCCTAAAACATAGAGCAATAGGCATCAGTTTTCAGCAGGGAGAGCTGCTGTTAAATCAAAAAGTTATGTCTCCGCTGTAATGACATGGCAAGCAGGTGGCTGTGCTCATTGAAACCTCCGCCCCAACCAGTTTCCTCCTTCCATCCCTGAATCTGATCTGCACTTGAGCCAGAAGGCGGTCTGCCTACATCTCCGACAAAAATTTCCACTTTCCCCATTGCCTCTCTATTACTTTGTCACAGGAGGTTTCAGTGCGAAATAGCTACACAATGAACTCGTGCTGGGCCTTAATCAATGGCAGATTGACCTGAAACCAAAGCAAGGGCTGCGTACTTTGGATTTGTAGCTAGTCGTGGGTCAAGTGGCGTGGCTAAAATAAAACCCAGCCCAGCTCAAACCTTCCAGCCCCAAATGCCAACTGCACCTCTTTTGAGATCTGAAAAAGTTCAAAAGCAATCCAGCTTTTCTTGTTCACGCATCTGAGCTTCCAGGTCCAAGCTGGGGTTAAAAGCGGAAACCTGGGGATCCCAGAAGGCTGTTCTTGCAGTATTTGTAGCACAACAGGAGCCGTAGGTGATAAAAGTGTTGGGGGACAGCTAGCTTCCATGAGACTTCCAACCCAGTCACCAAACTCCCGAGCTTTAGAGGTTGCTCATCATGCTATGGGGCCAGGTCCTGAGAACTAACAAACATGTACAATTCCCATTGAAGTCACCTGCAGTGCAACTCCTCTCTCAGGAAGTCACCTGCACTACCCAAAGAAATCAGCGCCACTCCGGATTTAGCCCACCGTATTTTGCAATTTACTGCAAGAAATCTTTGAGTCCAAGAACACACCCAGTAGGATTGCCAGTCCACATGCAAATACAGCCAGCTGTTTCCCAAAGAAATCCATAAATAATCAAATGTACCTCACTCTATGATGTTCAGGAAGATAAACTTCAGCTAAAGGAAGATGAAGTGAGGAAAAAGCAGATACTCCCTTTGTAAACTTCTCCTCCTAGACACTATATCTTTAGCAGGCTGAGACACTCTGGAGATAATGCCACCTACCTTTAAACTCTGGGATTAAGGTCTGATGTGTAATGAGTTTGGTCTCAGCGCTGTTCCCATTGGAGAAGAGTCCATGTCATGAAACTCCTATGGCACAATGGACAGCAGAGAGCTTCTTATGCTCTAGGAATTATTTTGGGGAAGTTCTGTGGCCTGTGCTGTACAGGAGGTCAGACTAGGTGTTCACAGTGGTCCCATCTGGCCTTAGACTCTATGAATCTGAAAGTTGAATCACCTCCCTGCTCCAGAGGGTATGGTTGTGCTAAGTCATTGTTAATTGCACTGGCAAAGTAAATTGAGGTATGATCACCCAACAGTTTCCTAACTCTACCTGGTCTCTGGATTTGGGGTTTTTAGCTTCAATTCCTGCTAGCCCCGTAATCACGAGGACGACGGACAGTTCACCTATGTTTGCAGTTATTTTTTGGAAGGCTGACAGTGTATTTTCCTTGCTAGTAGTGTCGCTATTCTCACACCTAGCTTACTTCCTGCGAGGCAGTCCCTCATGCAAACTGACATGAGCTTGAAAACAAATGTGGCTGTGGAACGGGAGGCAGTTTGGGAAACCACAGAATCCATGATAAATTTGTGCATCTGGATGCCTCTCTCTCTTTCAAGATGCAGAGAAGACTTGGCCCTTTCCCAACAGCAGCTGAAGGATTATTAAGGACTTTGAGTTTCCCTTTTAAGTATCTGCAACACTGCACTGCATGGCGAAAAGTATTGGACTGAAATCCCTGGGGACTCATGGCCAGACCAAGCCTCGACGCAGGACTACAGAACAAAACAAGTTTCACCTAAATTTTCCCACCAACATGCTTTGACCCTGACCTAGACACAGCACATTTGGGGGTAAGAGGGAAGCTTAGCCTCCAGGGCCCACTCTGGTCATGCAGCTCTCTGCTGAGATGCCAGGATGGGGTTGGTTTTTTTTGTGAGGTGCACACTTCTCCATTAGGAACTGGCCTGAGACCCACCAAACTCATTAGAACATAAGAACAGCCATCCTGGGTCAGACCAGTGGTCCATCTCGCCCAGTGTCCTGTCTTCTGATAGAGGCTGATGCCAGATGCTTCATGAGGAATGAACAGAGCAGGGCAATTATCAAGTGATCCACCCCCTGTCGTCCAGTCCCAGCTTCTGGAAGTCAGAAGCTTAACCATCTTGGCTAATAGCCATTGAAGCATCTAACCTCCATGAACTTATCTAATTTTTCCTTTGTACCCGGTTATACTTTTGGCCCTCACAACATCTCCTGGCAATGAGTTCCACAGATTGACCATGTGTTATGTAAAGAAGTATTTCCCTTTGTTTGTTGTAAAGCTGCTGCCTATTAATTTAATTGGGTAACCCCTGGTTCTTGTGTTATGTGAAGGGGTAAATAACACTTCCCTATTCTCTTTCTCCACATCTCCTGCTTCAAAACATCAATTCCTTTATTCCTACCCTTGGAACAGAGATCATGCAAGGTCCTGAAGCCCCCTCAACTCCCAGTGGGAGTTTGGGTTGCTCAGCACTTCCCGAGGGGCCCTTGGCAGCTCACACAGTTGGTCCAGAAGAAGCCTCCAAACCATAACAAGTGGAACTTGTAAGCAAAGAGCAGAACTCACCATTAGTCTGTAGAGAAAATGGGCTACAGCACAGGCAAATGAGAACTATCCTAATCATAGGTGGTTGCTGTGTCTGGTGGTGGGTTAGGTTGATAACAGGTTGTCCCTGGCTCACTGCTTTGAGGCCGAGCAGAGCCAGTCCCTGTCTACGTGAAGGACGCTGTTGAGTTGCTTTCCCAGAGAACTCCACAACCCATCTTAATTCATATAGAAGCCTGGAAAGGGCAGCAAGGAAAAAGCCTAGGAGATATTTGTAGACCGAGGGCCCAGGCGCTGCACAGATGTGGAGTGTAACATTTCCACCAAGCGTGTGCAGTGAGGAAGACAGCTCTCTGGAAGGGAATCGAGGCAGACGGAGCAGGCAAGTTGAGCCTAAGTGTTTCATCACATGCAGGGCCTACAAGAGGTTACCTCAGATCAGCTCATTCTCGCGCGCGTGCTTGGAGGATCCCTTCCTGACAGCGTTCGGACTGGCGAGCTTTGGCTCGGGAAATGTTTTTTTAACCAAGTGAAATCAAACAACGGTCACTTTTTTAAATTATCATTTCAATTTAAACTCCGATTTAAACCGCCAAAATGCCACCCATGTTATGTCGGTTCATTTAGAAGACTATGGGTTTGGCTCAAAACGTGGCAGACTCAGAAAGATGTGACGTGTGGCTGGTGCCGTGTGGACTTTCTGTGTGTGTACGTGGCGTACCGTGCCTGTGAGGTGATGCAGTGACCGTCTTGGCCTGCACAGTGCTGTGCGCTGTTGCCGTTTTGTACCAGGAGGGGGAGGGGAGAAGAAAATGGGTAGCTTGGCATTGGAAGGAAGGTATACGGCAAATCCAGCCATGCGGGCGAGGGAGCGCAAGCCCGAGTCAAGACGGTTCAGCAGCCAGCCACAGCTTCCCCTGGGGCTCAGCTGGGCTGCAGGGGCCGTAAAAACAGGACGAGTATGAGAAGTCTTGAGATGTAGCCTCTTCCCAGGAGGCCAAGGGGTGACACGCGTAACATACCGTGGGCAGCAAAAGGAGGCTGTCGCTGGCAAAT